TGCCCATTCTAAAAATCAATGTGCGCGGCGCTAAGGCGAGAGTCACATTTTGAAAAACACCCGCCTTCAATCCGTGAGGTTCTCGCAGTTTCTTAAAACGTACGCGCGCGGCGATCAGGCGAGAGCCACATTTTGAAGACCAGTCGCCCTGCATCCGTGAAGCTCCTGCAATTTTTCACAACTAATGTGCGCGGCGCTAAGGCGAGAGCCACATTTTGAAAACCACCAGGATCATCTGTGTTGAAGAAGTCTCAGGCGAAACGCTCGGCCCGCCCTTTCGACATGCTTCGGGGTGCGATAGGGAGGAGGTATCGATAAGGACAAGGAATGGAGGAGGAGGGGGAGGAGGAGGAGGAGGAGGAGGAGGAGGAGGAGGAGGAGGAGGAGCACTGCGAAACGGTGGAGGACAAGGAGGAGCACGAGGAGGAATACAAGGAGGAACACGACGAGCATCATGAGGAGTAGGAGGAGAAATTCAAGGAGGAGGTCGATGACGAGGTAGATGATGAGGAGAAGAAAGAGGAGGCGGAGGAGGATGAAACGACGAGGAGGAATATCACCAGGAGCATGATGAGGATTTCGTATGAGGATGGGGGCGAGGAGGAGAGATATGACGGTATTTAGGAGGAGGAGGAGGAGGAGGAGGAGGACGAGGAGGAGGAGGAGGAGGAGGAGGAGGAGGACCAGGAGGATCAGCTTGGGGAGGATGACGACGATGATGATGATGCTGATGATGATGATGCTGATGATGATGTTGATGATGATGCTGATTATGATGATGCTGATGCTGCTGCTGATGATGGTTATGATGCTGATGATGCTGATGATGATGATGATGATGCTGATGCTGATGCTGCGTGAGGGAGAGAAAAGGGCGATGATGAGGAGGATGAGGAGGAGGAGGAGGAGGTGTAGTGCAAGGGGGCGGGCGGGGGCGAGAAGCAGAGTTATTATCCCAATATGCTTGCCCTGTAGGAGTAAGTAATTGGTCTTTAGCCCCCCCCCTTTTTCCAATGCCCCCCTTTTTCCAATGACCCCCCCTTTTCCAATGGCACTTGCCTGCTTGCTCTTGCGTGCTTGCTCTCGCTTGCTTGCTCTTGCTTGCTCTTGCTTGCTTGCACTTGATCGCTGGCTCTTGCTTGCTTGTTCTTGCTCGCTTGCGCTTGCTTGCTTCCGCTTGCTTGCTTGCGCTTGCTTGATTTTGCTCCTCCCGTTCTCCTCCCGTCCTGCTCCCGTCCTCCTTTCGTCCTCCTCCCATCCTCCTCTCGTCCTCCCCGTCCTCCTATCTATTTGGAGTCAACGCTGGCTGACATGTGTGGATGCTGTGGACGTTGGGGAGGCGCACGACGACGACGATCACGAAAAAAGCTAGGCGACGACGTCGAAGGCGCAGGCGGATCAGACGGCGGACGACGTGCCAGCACTCTCAGGAGCCACCTCGGCCCCAAACGCGCTGAGTTGGGGTTGGGGGGGAGGAGGGGGAGGAAGAGGAAGATGAGGATGTGGAGGAGGAGGAAGACGAGGAGGAGGAGGAGGAGGAGGATGAGGAGGAGGAGGAGGAGGAGCAGGACGAGGTTGGGCTCTGGCTGTGGTTTGGCTGGGCTCTGGCTGTGGCGTGTTTTCCTGCACAGCGCGCCCCCCTTGGGGGGCTCGCGCCGCCGAGGGCGGCGGCGGACGGTCCTGGGGCCGCCCGCCTCGGCCGAGGCAGGGGGCGGCTGTGGCCAGCGGCGCCCTGGAGGGGGAGGTGGGGGCCCGGTGTGTGTGTGTGTGTGTGTGGATGGCATGGCCGGGGCCAGGACGTCTCGCAGCCTGCGTGGCCCCGTTTCCCTCGTTTTTTGCGTTCGTCTGTTGAGCTCTCATTACACATGAGGAAAAGATGGTTGTCGATCTCCGCCTCCGGTGACCATTCTGGTTTTTCAATTGACATGATTCCTCCGTGGCTCGCATGTTTTGTTTTAGAAAATATTTGTTGGTTAAAAAAACAGGGTAAGTGACGGGGCTCAAACTGGGTTGTTGGCCCCTGATTGCAACAACAACGGTTCCCGTCTGAAACTTCTTCACAATTTAGCCAGGAGCTTCGCTCCCGCGCTCTCGCTGAAGACTTGCTTGCAATCTACTAAAGAATTGCGCTCTTGTGTTGAAATTCATCGCAATTTGCTCAAGCGCCGCGCTCACGACACTCAGGCACCAAGGAGTCGCGCTCACGCTTAGGACTCCCTCACCGCTTACTTACTTAGCAATCGGGATCTCGCTGCCCTTCGTGGCCCCATTGCAGTCTTTCGTGGCCCCATCGCGGTCCTCTGTGGCCCCCTCGCTGCCCTTCGTGGCCCCGTTGGAGCCCTTCGTTGCCCCCTCGCTGCCCTTCGTGGCCCCGTTGCAGCCCTTCGTGACCCCTCGCCGCCCTTCGTGGCCCCGTTGCAGCCCTTCGTGCCCCCCTCGCTGCCCTTCGTGGCCCCGTTGCAGCTCTTCGTGGCCTCCTCGCTGCCCTTCGTGGCCCCGTTGCAGCCGTTCGTGCCCCCCTTGCTGCCCTTCGTGGCCCCGTTGCAGCCCTTCGTGGCCCCGTTGCAGCCCTTCGTGGCCCCCTTACTGCCCTTCGTGGCCCCCTCGCTGCCCTTCGTGGCTCCCGCTTGTTCGCGCCCGTCGTGGCCCCATGTGCATGCGCTTCGTGGCCACGTTGCAGCCCTTCGTGGCCTCCTCGCTGCCCTTCGTGGCCCCGTTGCTGCCCTCAGTGGCCCCGTCCTTGCGCCCTCTGCGGCCCAATATACGTATGCCCTTCGTGGCCCCCGCTCGTTCGCACCCGTCGTGGCCCCATATGCATGCGCTTCGTGGCCTCGCTGTCGCCCTTTGTGGCCCCCTTGCTGCCCTACGTGGCCCGTTGCTACTCTCAGTGGCCTCGTCCTTGCCCTCTGTGGCCCCGCATTATCTGCCCTACGTGGCCCCCGCTCGTTCGCGCCCGTCGTGGCCCCATACGCATGTCCTTCGTGACCCCGCTGTCGCCCTTCGTGGCCCCCTTTCTCCCCTTCGTGGCCCCGCTGTTGCTCTCGTTCTC